TATGTGACACTAGTTGCAATCCCTGTAATGTGACAGCATACTCCCCCTTTCCACCCCGGGTTTCCCGTGTCCGTCCAACCAGCTCCTGTCCTTTTCTGCCTTCTCATCCTGCCTTTGGACAGGAGCCGACCATTTGGTTTCATGTATTTGCTTGAACTAAGAAGCACACTCTTCATGAGTATTACTTTATGTTTTATAGTCCAGTCTAATCTTCGTCTGAAAAGTGGACTTCGGAAATGGTTTTAATTCTGGGTTAACAGAGTTTCTCGGAGCCATGGCTTCGAGGGTTCCTCTAGTCTCAGTCAGACCATTAAGTCTGGTCTTTTTACTAGAATTTGAGTTCTGTACCCCACTTTTCTCCTGCTCCATCTGAAACTCTCTGTTGTGTTCCCTGTCAGGGCGGTCAGTGGTGGTAGCCGGGCACCATCTAGTTCTTCTGGTCTCAGGCTGATGGAGTCTGTGGTTTATGTAGCGTCTTTGTCTCCAGGGCTAATATTTACCTTGTGTCTTTGGTGTTCTTTGTTCTCCTTTGCTGCAAATGAGTTGGGACCAATTGATGGATCTTAGGTGGCCGCTCGCAGGCTTTTAAGACCACAGACGCCACTCACCAAGGTGGGATGCAGAACATTTTCTTAATAAACTTTGTTATGCCAGTGGACCTAGATGTCCCCTGAAAGCATGGTCCCCAGACCCCTGCCCCTGCTTCTCTGTCCCTGAAGTGTTTGCTTGTATTCAGGAAACTTCTTAGCTTTTGGTTTAGTCCAGTTGTGCTGACTTCCCCTGTAGTGTGTGTTGTCTTTTCCTTCACCTGAGATGATTCTTGTCTACTGTCTAACCATCAAAGAATGTTTTCTTCTGTGCAAATGCATCAGTTCTTCCTCGGGTCTTCCTTATTCATTGTCCAGCTTTTGCATGCATATGAGGCAATTGAAAATACCATGGCTTGAGTCAGGTGCACCTTAGTCCTCAAAGTGACATCTTTGCTTTTTACCACTTTAACAAAAGAAGTCTTTTGCAGCAGATTTGCCCAATGCAATAAGTCGTTTGATGTTTGATTTCTAGACTGCTGCTTCCATGGGCGTTGATTGTGGATCCAAGTAAAATGAAATCCTTGACAACATCAGTCTTTTCTTCATTTATCATGATGTTGCTTATTGGTCCAGTTCTGAGGATTTTTGTTTTCTTTATGTTGAACTTTAAGACATAGCTCTGCAAATTTTTTCTCGAAAAGGTCAGATGATAAATATTTTAGATTTTGCTGGCCACGGTCTCTGTGTTGCATAGTCTTTTTTTTTTTTTTTTAACAGCCCATTAAAAATGTGAAAATCATTCTTAAGTTGAGAGTCCTACAAAAACAGGCTATTGCTAGATTTGTCTGGCAGGCTGTAGTTTGTGGAACTCTGCTTTAACAAGTAGAATGTCTTAAGATTAAAAATCCTTTTTAGTATAAAATTTTATGTAACATGGGTGTTTAGAAATGATATTACATTCCTCTCTTGGTGTGTCCACAAGTTTAGCAGTTTCTGTAGTCTCTGGGTGGCGCAAACGTTTAAATGCTCGCCTACTAGGCTGAAAGGTTGGCAGTTCGGACCCACCCAGGGGCACCTTGGAAGACAGGCCTGACTATCTGCTTCTGCAAGGTCACAGCCTTGAAAACCCTATGGAGCAGTTCTACTCTGCACATATGGGGCCTCTGTGAGTCAGAATTGACTTGATGGCAACTAACAACAACATAGTGAATAAAACTTGCCAGCTGCACATTATCCGTGGGAAAAGGACCGCTTCTGTCTCTGCCTTTGCTTAGCACTTGTGTGACATCATTGCATGAAAGGATCCACTCAGGATGGTCTGCTTCTCGTTTGGTACCCACCAAAGTAGTGTCATATTATTTGAAATTGTGTGTCAGTATGTCCTTTTGCAGAGTTTCACAGTTTTACCCAGTGGGCTAGTGATTACCTCGATTACCCTCACATTCATCTTGCAGCTGTCATCTATCTCGTGTTCCCAGCTGTCATCTGTCTTGTGTAGCATATTGGACCTTTTTGCAGCAGGCATTACTCTCTGGCGAGGGTGGATTGGCTACAATACAGGGCATCCTTTCTTGACCTTTAACGTAGGTATGGCTTCAAGGTAAAGCTGATGAAACTGTTCAGGAGGCCAGATCTGACATTTGTGTTAGGTCCAAGCCTCACAGCCAGATAGAACCTGTTTAAAGATTTGGAAAAATGAGACAGGAAGACCGTATCATTTGAGAGGCTGGCAGAGAGCACAGTAATAATGTATTGCTAAAGGAAGCAGGAAATAATAGGCACTGCAGTATATGTATCAGCCCAGGTGTCATAAGAGACTATTTTGTGAATTAAAATAATTAGGTACCTCTTGTCACATCTTGGGGGAGAGGGCATCTGTGTACAATTGGCATCTACATACAGTTGTAACTTGGGGTCTTAGGGCCTTTTTAATCAACTTAATTGGAAAAAGTTAACAAGTAATCTTGTGATTTTTTTTTTTTCCCTGTTATTTGAAAGGATATCAAGATTTATTTTACTTTCTCTATATTTTGAGGCAGCATAGTTTAGTGGTTAAGAGCATGGATTCTGGAGTCCCTCCCCAAGTTCTAATCGTAGCTCTGTGATTTTGGACAAGTTATTTAATCTTTTTATGCTTTCTTCTCGTCATCTGTACAATGAGTTAGTTTACTGTTTCTACTTCATACGATTGTTAAAAAACAACAAAACGCATTGCTGTTGAGTCATTTCCGACTCATGGCAACCCCATAAGTTACAGAGTAGAACTGCGCCACAGGGTTTTCTTGTCTGTATTCTTTTCAGAGTTAGATCGCCAGGCCTTCCATGGAGCTGCTGGGTAGGTTGGAGCCATCAACCTTTACGTTAGTAGTCAGTGCTTCACTGTTTGCGACACCTAGGGGATTCTTTGAGCAAAGCAAATGAATGTTTACTTTTGAATTATTTCCTTCTGCTAAGAAATAACTAGGATGGCCTTGAGGCTAGCTTAAAGTTACAAGTTCATAACCTGTTAGACTTGTCAATGGTGTAGTTTCATGTGATCTGAGTAGCTGGCTCATTTATCTATATTGTTTTTAAGCTAAAACTCTTTTATTCTGTCTTTAAAGTTGCGATTTCTTTATTGCTTTTTTAATTTAGTCTTTTTCCTCTTTCATTTACTTGTTTACAGTAACCTGAGTTTCCATATTCACCATACAGGAGAGGTAGGACGCAAGCAATCAGCCACATGTAATTTTATTTTTCTCTTTCTTTGCCCTCGTAGAACTCTTCACTATAAAAAACTAAAAAAAGAGATAAGTGAAGTGCCATTTATTTTGTGTTTTAGTAAATGGTTACTCTTGTATGTTTATTTTCAAGAGAGAGGGAGTAGGTAGTAGAGATAAATACACGGGGACCTTGCTTTAAAGTAACTAATGAAAACTTAGAATTTGATGTAACTTTCACATCTCAGCACAGTCATTACAGGTATCTCCTCTGGGAAGCTTTCTTTGACTTTAGGGTTTAGTCAGTTTCTACTGTTAAATTCTTTCATGGCACCACATAGCTCTTTTTCAAATTAGTTTCTTATTTGTTTGTGTGAGTTATTTGTGAAATATTTTGATTCTTTGATGGATGGCCGTCTCAGTGTCAGGTACATAATTTCTTAGGGTTTGTTAAATTAATGAACGAACTTCAGTTAACATTTAAGGGACGTTTGTAAGTGGAAATACCAAAAGGACCTGGTTAAAAATGTCTCATCTCCATTGTCAAAAATCCTCAATAGGTTCCTGGGGTTAATTACCCATAATCAATAGTGACTGAGGACTCAGAGCAGATGCAGAAGACATAGATCTTTCCATTTGGACTTTAGAGCTAGAACCACGACATGGTATAGTTTCCATTATATGAGTACACACAGCTGGTGTTATGTAGAGCTTATGACTACCAGAGAAACTTACCAGACACGCTGAGCACCCTTTAACACTGTACCCCATGGCATAAGGGATGGTATTACAAGTGGAGTTGTGGGTATACAGGCTGGAACTCAGATTTTACACTGAGGGTGGAAGTTTGAGACATCTGCCCGTAGATGATAATTGCAGCATACCTCTCGAGGAAGTGGATAGAGAAGAGAGTATGAACAATAAAGCCTAGACCTGAACCTTGAAACTCAGAATTTGAAGAGAAGGTGAAAGAGGTGAAGCCTTAAAGGACAGAGGAATATCAGCAGTTATATAGATACTGTTTTGCTTTGAAGGAAGTGGAATAGAAGGGAGATAGAAGATATAACAGCCAAAACTCTTTGAATTGGGGCTACGTGATTATCTTTATGGCTTATCTGTCTTATACGGGAAATTCTTTTATAGTCACTAATAGAGTTCTATTACCCATTTGATTTTTGGGATATTTGACTTGTTTATTCAACAGTTTATTGGCACTAAGCAATGAGACACGATTTCTTACTCTTTTTCCCATGTGTTCTAAGTGTATCTGACATACAAAATAACAACACAAAATAGGATGTATCAATTTCATTATTCATTATTATCATTTTTACTACTATTATCATTATCATCAATTTCATTATTTCATTATCACACCTTACCTGTTAATGACTTTGTTAATTCTCCTAAAGATAAACACGACAAATTGTTTAATTGATTTAGAGAACCTGTGCATTTTGGTTTTAAGTGTATTGTTCTACAACTTAAAAATACCTTGGGGATTCTCTAAAATGTAAGAGCGCTATGGTAGCCGTCTTGCTTAATATTAAATAGTAGTTGATAGCACTCATAAGGGGCCCTGGTGGTGCAGTGGTTAAAGCAGTCAGCTGCCAACCGAAAGGTCAGCTGTTCAGACCCACCAGCGGCTCCATAGAAGAAAGATGTGGCAGTCTGCTTCTGTAAATATTAAAGTCTAGGAATCCCTGTGTGGCATTCTGCTCTGTCCTATAGGGTTGTTATGAATTGGAATTGACTCTATGGCAGCCAGTTTGGTTTTTTTTTTTTTCCTGATGTCTCATGGAAGCTTAGGGAGCTGCTCAGTTAAGAAATAGGTCTGCATACACAAGACCAAATGGGTGGCTCCTGTCCGGAAGCAGGATGAGAAGGCAGGAAGGGACAGGAACTGGTCGAATGGACACAGGGAACCCAGGGTGGAAAGAGGGGGAGGGTGCTGTCACATTGTGGGGATTGCAACTAATGTCACAAAAGAAAAAAAAGTATAAATTTTTGTATGAGAAATTAACGTGAGCTGTAAACTTTCACCTGAAGCACAATTAAAAAAAAAAAAGGTCTGCTTCACTATTGTAATCTCAACTGAATTTGCTTTCCTTTTTTTCTCGTGAAGAAAATTTTATATCAATAAGACCATTTTTTTTTAAAAAAAATTTGTTCTCAATACTTAGTAGTTCCTGAGTTACAAGCCTCTGACTGCACTGATCCTTTGAAATCAACTACATATGAAGTCACAGAGTTATGACTGCAGATGGGGAAAAAGTAAACTAGTTGAAATTTCAAGGTACAGAAATCTTGTTACCATGCAAATATCTTTTCTTATTCTTTTGGATTTTTTATTTCTAATATATATGTATATCATACTGAAAATAGAGTAAGGATAAAATTGAATTGTTAATACAAATGCATTTTTGCATGTAGCATTCCCTTTGGTTCACTCACTAAGGATTTGTTGGAATCCTGCTTTTCACCTAGCACTTTGCTAGGTAGGTAATGGTGGGTTGAGAAGCTCAGAAAAATTGAAAGTCAAGATCTCTTGTCTGTAGGGCTACTGTCTGTTTAGAACCAAGAAAAACAGGGACTCAGACAGCTACAATACAAAATATTTATTTTTCAACACTGATTCCCAAGCCCCAGCTAGATGCCATCTCTTCTACTTTGAAGCCTTAGCCTTTTGTACCTCTCTTAAGCCATATATTACTTTGGCTGATAAGACGACCTAGGTACATTGTAAATCCGTTAGGAAAGAGCATGTCAAAGTCGGCTTTGTGTTCGTTTATGTGTCTGGTACGTGGTTTGGGTTTTGTGTAAATAAGAGCAGGAGACTAGAATTCAGGAAATTCCATACCACTTTGTTTAGTGGCATTTTCATTATACAGTCTTGAACAGTTTTTGGATGATAAATTGTGTTTAAATAGTTGTTCGGGAAGAGGCTGTATATTCTGAGTTGGGGAGATAGTCTGAGCAAAATCACGGGGTTAGACTTGGACACAGCATGTTTGTGAGATGTTAAAGATACTGACTTGACCAGAGCATAGATGATTTTTTGCTAAGGGGCAGTGAGAGGAAAGCTTGCATGGCTTGGGTGGATTGTGAAGAACTTTTTAATATTAAATTAAAAAATTTGAAAATTATATATATGCTAAATAATACTGTGTGTGCTCATTAAATATTTTTTTAAATTGATGACAAGTAAGCCTGAGTCCTCTTCTTTAAGAATTTATTATTATAAATTTATTGTGTATTCTTTAAGGGGCAGTTTATGTTTATATAAGTATTATATATCTCGGATGAGAGGTTATTATATATACATCAGACAGGTGTATCATAATTTATTGTACCATTTGTTGGTAGAAATTTAGGTTGTTTCCATTCTTTTTCTATGACAAGCAGTGCTAGAATGAATGTCCTTGTCCATGTGCCTTTACATTTTTAAATGTTTCATTAGAATTACACATGAATATAGTTTACAAAATGAATAGGACAAAAATTATAATGAAAACATTCTTTTGCTTTATCGCCATTCAGTTCTAGACTCTAAACACGGCCTCTTTCGTATTTTTTAGCTCTTCTAGTATTTACCTTTATATTTTCAAGTAATACGCTTATATCTCTACTTCTTGAATTTTTTTTCCTCCTTTTTTAGACATTGTTAAGTTCGTAGCTCATTCTTATTGCCCATTGTTTATTAACTTTATACTATGGAAGGTAACTGGATGTAGCATTCTAAGTACAAAATAAGTTTCAATTTTAATTTTTAAAGGTTTACTCCACTGTTCTCTAATATCCCTTGCTACCCTTGAGGAGTCCTATGCCATTCTGATTCCTTATTTTTTTAATATGTGACATATTTAATGTTATTATTATTTTTTAGTCTCTGGAAGTTTATAGGATTTTTTTTTTTATGTATCTTTGGTGCTTTGAAGTTTCACAGTGATCTACCTTTTTGCAAGTATCTGTAGAATGAATTCCTGGCAGTGGACTAGTTGAGTTAAAGTTGGATGCATTTGGAATTTGTGATAGATACTGCCTAGATATAATACAAATTCTTCTATTCCAGGGTATCTTGTCAGCTAAGATATAGTCATTCTCAGAAAGTCTTGCTTTGGCACAGATAATTCCACCCTCTGTGTAGAATGTTCACCCTTTGAGCTGTTCCGTTGAAATTCTTTTGATGTTAGAACTACCCTTTCCCAGCTTTCCCTATAACACTCCCTATCTCTCCCCAATACACTTGTATGCACACGCTTCTCATTCACTCACTTTTTCCTATGTCTTTCCTCATCTATTAACAATAAAAAATATATTCTAGCTTGCTAATTAGAATAATTAGTACAGTTATTCATAGGTATTAATTTTATTGTTAATTACATTATAGTAGCTTGTTGTAAGAGTGAGGGGTCAGAACTACAGATAACGGGTTCAGAGTCATCTTAAGAAGGAAATTTAAAGCTGAGAAACGGAATCAAGGCAATGAATCAAGTGCTGTTAGAGAAGGTCAGAAGGCTTTGGACTGCGTCCTAGGAGGAATGTCCTTATTGAGAGATAGGAAAAGAAGCAGCCAAGGAAATGCTGAAATAGGCAGATAAATGTACTATACCCGCTGCTGTCGAGCCTATTCCGACTCATAGTGACCCTATAGGATGGAGTAGCACTGCTCCATAGGGCTTCCAAGGAGCAGCTGGTGGATTTGAACTGCCGACCTTTTGGTTAGCAGCCATAGCTCTTAACCACTATGCAACCAGGGTTTCCGAATGTACTATAGGAAATTAAAACTCAATGGAAGGAAAGATTTCAGGAAAGACGTGTGTGGTCAGTGTTATTTCACAGACATCAGGGAGAATGAGGACCAAAAATACTTTGGAGATCAGTTTTAGCAGAGTGGTGGGCGTTAAGGCTGGGAAGGTAAGGAGATGGAGTTAGTTGGTATAGAGCATGTATTTAAGAACTGTAATCTGTGCAAGAAAGGAAGGAGCTGGGGCAGAATGTAGGGTGGAAGGAAGGCTCAAAGGAAAGTTTTTTTTTTTTTGGGTAGATTGAAGGAGATTACTTGTGTATGTTTGGATGCGCATGGAAGGTGAACCAACCAGTTGCCATTGAGTTGATTCAGATTCATAGCAACCCCATGAATGTCAGAGTAGAACTGTGCTAGAGTTCTGCTAGAATTTTCAATGAGTCTCTGGGTAGACTTGAACCTCCCATCTTTTAGCAGCCAAGCACATTAACTATTTGCACCACCCAGGGACTCCTGGAAGAAGAAAAGTGATAATAATAGTGGGAGTAGGGTACTTTAGGGGACAGGGAAAATACGAGAGATAGGGGCAAATAGATAGCTAGGGCCAGCATATCCTAAGAAGGAAGAATGACTGTAGGAAATCGTTTCCTCAATCTAGAGTAAGGGATAAGATGATGAGGTAGGAATGTGTTCAGGTGCTGAAAAGATCACACCTATTTGCTCCAGTAAGGTTGACAGGCTTGAAGAGATGGGGATTTTTTTTTGAATAGCCATCTATTCATTTGTTTGTTAACTCATGGAACATCTAATATGCTACTCTGGTAGAAATACAAAAATGAGGAAGCCACGAAATGAATGTGTAGAGATTATTGTGTATATCTCTGTGCCTTTGTATAATGATTACTCATAACCTGAGATGGCAGGGAGGAAGTGGACTGTGGGGCCTATCTAGGGTTATAGATTGGCATTCATGAGTGTGTAGGAGCTCAACAGAATTAGGGTGGTGGTGAAGATAGTTCTGAAGTAGTTGAGTCCGCGATCTGGGCTGGGTAGGGAATCCAGGAGCTAATGGACTAAATATAGTCCTTTCAAGGTAGAGAACGAGCTGAAGCTGGAGGTTTGGCCACGGTGACAGAATAGAAAAGATAGAGGAAGGATATTGTGATAGGAAGAGGAGTAGGCAATATAACACCACTTTTGATATCTTAGATGCAGAACTTTCAGTGAAGTAGAATTCAACACACTTGATGGGGAAAGGACAGAGCAGATTTGGTAGGTCAAATAATGAACAAAATTATAGGAACAGCACACACAACGTAAAAAAGATCATCTTATTTAATTCCCAAAATCACAGAAGTGGCTGGTGCATCACAAGTCATGTTTTCATCGGTGTGTTCTATGTAGTGTGGTAGAAAAATCAGATATTGCAAGTTCTTAAAAAGTAATGGTTTTTAGAATGTCAGTGAGCACCCTTTTCAGTATCTTGAAAATAACGTGGCTGTGTACTTTGTTTTAGCACTCTGTCTGAAAGCTCATTTCACTTTAACGTTCATATAAAAGTGTGCAATGTGATACTTTTGATCTTTCAAGGAAAAGAAATGTAGAAAACTTCTTATTGATGTGTATTATGTTTACAGAGGTAATTGGTTGATAATGATATAAATACCTAAAGGTCCTTAGGGTTAGTGTAATGAACCAAGCACAAAAAATCCTTTGAAAGTGTTATTTCCTCTGTTTGTTCTTGCTAAATTACTTCCTCTGAGTGTAGTGACTTGATGTATGTTTATTAATAAGTACTACTACCTTTTTTAGGGTATCAAAGGTAGCAGGAATTTTGCTGGACTAAGTTGGAGCTATTTTGTTTCTGTCTCCTACCCCAATATAGTGAATTTCATTCAGTCTGCAGACTGTCAGCTTGATGAGTCCTGTTTGCAGTTGCTTAAAGAGCAAAACAGTGAACTTTCTGTGAACTGAAAGAATGACTATTTTTGACAAGACATTAGTGAAAAAGAGATGCTTATTTACCAATAGCCAGAAACAAATGTTTCCTTATGGGAACCTGGGTTCTTAGGAGCATAGTGACCAAATGTCTTGGTTGCCTGGGACAGTCCTTATTTGCACCGGTTGTCCTAGCATCCTGTCTGGTTATCATCCCCCTTCACTGTCAGAGGAGCCCTGGTGGCACAGTGGTTAAGAGCTCAGCTGCTAACCGAAAGGTCAGCAGTTCGAATCCACTAGTTGCTCCTTGGAAACCCTATGGGACAGTTCTACTCTGTCCTGTAGAGTCACTATGAGTCAGCCCACTCGACAGCAATGGGTTTGGTTTTTGGTTTCACTCTCAGAAGAAGTGTCTTCATTTGCACCATAAGTTACAACATCATCTACTTGTGGCTCTCATTTGAGGTTTTTTGTTTACACTTTGAATCATTAACCTGTTGCCGTTGAGTTGATTCTGACTCATAGTGACCCTATAGGACAGAAAAGAACTGCCCCATAGAGTTTCCAAGGAGCGGCTGGGGGATTTGAATTGCTGACCTTTTGGTTAGCAGCTGAGCTGTAAACCACTGTGCCACCAGGGCTCCTTGAATCATTAGGTGAAGGTATGTCTTAGTAGTTGCATGGAGAAGCCACTGGTTGGCTTTGACCATAAGAGGTTTAGAGGTGCTTGATGGAAGTTGCTCCTTCTTTTCTGACTTCGCAGAAGATACATTATGAAAAGTGTTACAACTTGTACCAAATTTAGTAGTTGCCATTGAAATTCAGCAGGTGTCTTGTGATAGAATATTTAACCAGGGAATAACAGACTTTCAAATAAACATGTCCTTAATACTTTGTCCTTTGAGGAAGAGAGAAATATGGTAGTGTTGGGGCTTGGATTTATGGAACATCTGGCATAAGATGTTTATCTAACAATGACCTAAGTCTTGATCATATCCTTTCTTCAAACAGCACCAATATTCTGAGGGAGCCTGTGTGCTTAGGTGGATGTGAGCACATTTTCTGTAGGTAAGTGATTATAGCTTGATATATATAGTGTAACTGTTGTTTTTATTATAGAATAATCATATAATCATATTGATAATAATGGTACCTTATGTTTGTGTAACTTTCATAGCCTTCAAAGTAACTTCATATTACCTCATTTTGATCTTTATAACTGTCTTAGTTTACAAATATGAAAATCACAGCTCAAATAGGATGATTTGTCCGAAGTTACAAAGCTTATTTAATAACTTTGCTAAGCTTGAAGAAAAAAATGTATTTTTATATACTTAAATATGTCTTTTTTCCCTTCCCAGTTAGTTTTGAATCTAGTCTTTCAAAATTGTGTCTAAGTCTAGCTCTTAAAGTTACAATGAAATTATATCCATGTTCTAATGTGAAAGCCCTGCCTTACAGATTAGAAAATTAGTTTTATCTCATTGTATTTCTTGTTTGAAGCCCTGGTATTGCAGTGGTTAAGCACTCAGCTGCTAACCAAAAGGTGGGTGGTTTGAACCCACCAGCCGCTCCATGGGAGAAAGATGTGGCAGTCTGCTTCTGTAAAGATTTTACAGCCTTGGAAACTATGGGGCAGTTCTACTCTGTAGTCGATGGCAACTGGTTATGTCTTGTTCAGGAGAAATAAACTGAGGGACTGCATGTCTTAGCTTAATTCTGAAACCGGCATAATATAACCTTCTTTGAATAAATGTTTAGATTATTTCAAGATACAAGCATGAGCAAACTACATTCTGAAATTTGAGCATACATGGATATAATTGAGCATGTGATTTAAGTGGGCTGGGGACATGTGGAAGGCATCTTTGCTTGGCGTTCCCAATCTTCTTGCTTCTAGAAACATAGATCTTTTATATGGGGCACATCTAGCAGGAGGATCGGGTAGAAAATTGTACCTGTTGTTTACCTGATATCTCCATTTGGATGATGAAAAGGCATTTCAAACTTGAAAACACATTTCAAACTTGACATGTTCAAAGCAAGCTCTAGATCCTCCTGCTCAACGTATTCCCACCTTATTAATCTTCATCGCATATATGGTACCATTGACTGCAAAGCTGCTCAAGGCAAAAAAAACCCACGTCATACCTGATTGCTCTTTTTCTTCCCTATCCCTTATCATTAAGTTTTGTCAGTTCTACCTCAAAATGTACCCTAAATCGATTTTTCCACTTGTCTATATTTACTACTGTTTACACTTTGGTCCAAGCTCCCATCATATTATCTCACTCCAGACTATTGTAATAGCTTCTTTACTGGCCTCCCGGCTTCCTTTTTTGCCATCATCACCCCTTCCCCATTTTCCACATTATTGTCAGTGATTTTTTAAAAATGTATATCACATCCATATCATTCCCCTGCTTAAAATTCTTCAGTAGGTTCCTACTGTAGTTAGAATAAAATCCAAACTCCACACAAAATTCCCCAAGGCCCTGTGCATGACCTCGTTCCTGGCTACATTGTGGCCCTCACTCTCCTCTAGCTCACACTGTTCCAGCCATGCACTCCCTTTTGTATATTAAACACACCAAACTCACTCCTGCTTCAGGACTTCTGAACTTGCTGTTTCTTCTGTCTGGAGTATACTTCTGCCAGATGCCTGTGATGCTGACAGTTAAATTCCAGCCCAAATGTCACCTCCTTGAGAAGACCTCCCAGGACCTCTTTATGAAATGATGCCTACTCCCAGCCCCCTCCCTGTAGCAGCAGATGTCCTGTTGCAGCTGATGTACGATGGGCTTATTCACTGAATACAATAGATTAATGACAAAGCTGCCAGAGCATAATGAGCCCCCTGAAATTGTATGCAAAGTGTGTGCGTGTGGGTTACTTACCTTTAATGGGATTCTAAAGAGCTCTGTGACTTAAAGAGGCAGGAGAACATCTTTAAGGAGAAAGTGGTCATCTGTATATGGCATGATCATAGGAAAGAATTGATGATTCATCGCAGTTTTGGTTCATTCTGATTACAGGATGCTAGGAATTAGGACAGCTGTTTATATTTGCAGATTTAGAGTTACCTCAAACTGCTGGGCAGTGTTGTACAATTTTTGCAGATGGTTTTGACATATCTCAGCCCAACTGAAACACAGAAGTAGGGAGGAGGAGACGGGATGGAACACAGATTTTAGTATTGACAGTGTTGTTGTAGTTTCAAGGTATTTTCATGCCGTTTCCTGGTGAAAGTAGTCCATGTATTTTCTTTAAGATAAATTCATTGAAGACATGTGGCAGTGTTTCTCAAACTTTTTGGTATCTGACCCCATTACACTCTTAAAAAGTGAGGACCACAAAGAGCATTTGTGCGTCTATGTATAAGATATATAGATATAGTATTAAAAAAAAAAAAAAAAGACTAACTCATTGCCGTCGAGTTGATTCCGACTCGTAGTGACCCTATAGATACAATATAAGTGGAGAAATTTAAAGAATATTAATTAATTCATTAAAATAAAAACAATAAACCAATTACTATTAATATAAATAACAATTTTTAGAAAAACTAATTATTTTACAAACTAAAGAAATAATAGTTACTGAGAAAAGTGGCACTGCGTTACGTTTTTGCAAATCTCTTTAATGTCTTGCCGGATAGAAGACAGCGAGATTCTCTTATCTGCTTATGTATTCAATCTGTTGTCGTATGTTGTTTTGATTGAAGTATAGGAAGAAAATCTGCTGTTACACATCAGAAGCTGGAAGAAGGAGGACTGTTTTACTAGTGTTTTCAGATAGTTGTGGATGTTCATTGATCCTACACCAAAAGTTGACAAGTGGTAGTTTCTGTAGGTTAATTGCAGCGTTGAATCTGAAACCATATCAGTGTTACATTAAATTTCATTGGTTTATCTTGTACTTTGAACAGATCTTTATTGGTTCACTGAATAATGCAGACCAACTGAAAGACACCCTATTTCCCCAGAATTCTGGATTAGTATATATAAAATAATATGAGAACAGTTATAGAACAAACGTAGAATATAAAATAGACTGATCTACAGGTTATAAAATTGTCTAAAAGACCCAAAGATCCTTTCTCAAAAAGTACTTTAAAGTCTTTAGACACTTGTTCAAAAACAAAACAAAAAGTTACTTTCCCAGTCTCTGCGGTAATCTTAGATATTTCCATGAAGTAGCGTGTTATGGTTTCGGATAGGAAAAGTTGATATACATGGCTGCTCTGCATTAGATATTAAATCTTTTTACGTCTTTCTCTGTACTCTCATCCTTTAAAAGCTATAGGTCTGTTTGTAGGAAAAAAAAAACATGAAGCCTAATTTCAGGCTAAATAAAGTTTCTTTGTAGCAAATTACATAAGTAACTTTAAATTGTGTGTGTGTGTGTGAATCACATTCTTTCAGAAACACTGTTTAGCAAGTATTTTACAATTGACTGTTGTTTCTTATAAAAACTCTTGCTTCATTTACTTCTGATGAAATTTTAATGGTTTATTTATTTTTTAGAATTCAGATCCTGCTGAATGCTTGTTTTTTTTTTTAAAGTTGTTGTGTAAGTGACTGCATTGGAACCGAATGTCCAGTGTGTTATACTCCAGCCTGGATACAAGATGTGAAGATAAATAGACAGTTGGACAGCATGATCCAGCTTTGTAGTAAGCTTCGAAATCTGCTGCATGACAGTAAGCTTTCAGGTGAGAAATACCATTGGCTCTCTCTTAGTTACGTAACTGATGAATTCATATTGATCACACATTAAGTATGTAGAATTCTGAATGACATAGTTTAGATTTTTGTAAGATCTATAGTGTTTAGGGTACAATAGTTAAAGCGCTCGGCTGCTAACCAAACCCACAGCTGTTCTGGGGGAGAAAAGACCTGGCGATCTGCTCCCGTAAAGATTACAGCCTAGGTTGCTATGAGCCTGAGTCGACTTGACGACACACAACCACAGCCTAGTGTTTAGAGTTGTTTTGAGAAATGACAGTAAGAAATTATTAAGTCTAACTCCCTTGTTTTGTAGATGAGAAACCAGGGTGCAGAGAGGTTAGGCGATCTTGACCAAAGTCATACATGCAGTTAATACCAGAATCGGGAGAAGGAGAACCCATTTCTTCGGATTCTCAATCCAGACTTTTCCACCACTCTGTGCTGCCTACTTTTTACAGTTATGATAATTTCTCTGTAATATGTATGGGATAGTGATTTTTTCCTTAATAATGCTTAACTCGCTTAAATACACCTTTAAAAGATAGAATACAACATTCTTCCAAGGATCACTTTCCTAGGCTGAATTAATTAATTAGATGAGCACATTTTGAGACAGCGAAAATCTAGTATTCTTCTTTTCTATTTAAATGGGAGTTAATGTTTTTCAAATTGTTCTTAGACTGTGTGTATTAACTATATATCTTCCCATTGTGCTTTCTACTGAGAACTAATTAGCTGTAGAAAGAAAGTAAAGTGTTTTGAATCTTTGTAATTGGATATTGGAATTGTCATTTTATTGACCAGATAACGTCATTTAGCTTGTGTTTATAGGAGAACCTTTTCTTGATTGACAAGATGCCATCAATGATCGATAGTGCTCATGTAAAGTTGTTAGATTTCTGTTTTAAATTTTATGTTATCCGATATGTGACAATGCATTATTATCAGCCACAAAAGATGAAGTTGATTGGACGAAGTAAAGATACAAGGCAAAAATACTTTGAGCTTTATTGAGCAGAGATCCATTTTTAAGAAGAATTTAAATCATAGTCTACCTATGAAAAGTTACTTTCATCTAGTTATTGAATCATTGTATTAGACTCCATTCTTTTATGATAAAATATGCTGTAGTGATATTGTTTTAGAAAAGTCTGACCAGTAATCACTAGATTATGTGGCTGTTAAAAGAATAGAGCGCATGGTTCAAAGTTTTATTTATTTCAGATATAATTAAATATGCACATACATGTATGTGTACACACACATTATACATATCTATATCTATATATATATGTACATGTTTAAGGTACTTAATTAAAAAAATAATATTGGGGCTGTAAACCTTTTTAAGAGTATGATGAGGAAAAGTTTTGTCATTAACTCAACAGCATTCTTTTTCTTCTTTCTCAAAGGCAGTACTGATAGTGTTTATTTTCTAATTGAAAAGACTAGTATGTGATCTGGCTTTTTTCCCCTACATAGACACCATTGATTGACGCAGGGGTTCTTCATCAAGGGTTCATGTGTCATTGGTAGTTTTTATGTAGGGAATTAGTGAACTCCTTGTGTTAAGTGTACAATATGAAAAATGTTCACTTCTAGGGGAAAGTGGCTTTTATCAGATTGTTAACATTGTGGGGCACTGAAAAAGTTAGAATTATTGGCCATGCATTGAAATTTCAGGTGCTACTTTGAGATTATGGCTTTCGTGATATCTTGATTTGACTCTTCTCCGGTTGCTGTATAGTAACATGATGTTTTTAATGGTGACAGAGGGCGAGCAGAGCAACTGCAGTCACTTAGCCACACTGGTGTGCGTGATACCATGGGCCGCGTAGGGGAATAAGGTAGACGACTCCTCAGAAATTTGACTATAGTTAAACCCTGTTGCCTTTTAATCAATTCCCACTCATAACAACCCTGTAGGACAGGGTAGAATTGCCCCGTAGGTTTCCAAGCAGTGGCTGGTGGGTTCTAACTGCCAACCTTTTGGTTAGCAGCTGTGGTCTTAACCACTGTGCCACCAAGCTTCCTTACTGTAGTTAGTGACGTTTAAATCATTGCTGTGGTTTTCATGTTTTGTGGACCATGGAATGTGAAATGCCTTATTATCATCATTAAACAAGATATTTAGGAAGGTTAACTGAGTGTAGAACATGTCTCTGGGTGGGACCTGAGGCCTTTTTGAGCACTGTCTTTCTCGTCTAAGAGTAGTGGGAGAGTTTGTGGAGAGAATTATGGGGATTCGTTTTCCACAGACCATTTTTTATTGTTTTAGTTATTATACTGAGCGCTAATTACTAGTTTTTACCAGACTTTAGCCCTGTTGGCTTCAAGATACTTATTTTAAGGTAAATTGAAATTTCATTGTTTGGATACTGTATAATTAGAATTTTAGGAGTTGGTAGTTCATTTTTAATTCACTTATTCTGTCTGTAAGGAAATTGAGGACCTAGATTACTTAGGGTGGTCATCTTGTAAGTTACTTATTATTTTGTCTTTTAGCACAGTGCTTTCCTTAGAGATATAGGTATTCATTATACGCTTGTTGAATTAAGTCAGGTAAAAACTGGCAGTGCTAAAACTAATTCATATCCCAAAGACTAAACTTAATTAAAATGATTATAAAACACAATCTTAGATATTGGTTTCAACTATCTGTTTTGTAATGGTAACGTCCTCCTTTGCTGTTTTGCTAGAAGTCTAGAGTATAAACATACTGAAATATAAATTTCTGCCCAGATCTGTAGTCTTCATGATGCAATACTTTTTCTATTTTAATGTAAATTGCCTTGTCACCAACTTTTCCTCCCCAGATCTTCCCAAAAAACTAGGCTTGAAGGACATTTGAGATTTTTTTTTAAAAGTATTTCTGTTTTTTTTTAAAATTATTGCTCAACATATTTTACGCAGTGCCTTAACTGTTCATAAAATACTTCTAAAACTAAAGTGGCATAAAGTGCACTATAAAATAGGTGGAGGGAACCAATAGTTGGGGAAGAATGATGATTGGTCTTCTTTATAGGGAGGAGCCTGGTAGAAGATCTTTTTTTAAAATAAAATATAAGGGTATTCAATTAAGTGTTCTCTAAGGTCTAGCTCCAAAATCGTATGATTTTTGTTAAGTGGTCAAGTGTTGAAGATGGTGAGTTAAGCAAAATGGTTGAGCATCTCCCACATTTTCTTTTTTTAAAACCCTATAGTTCACAATTGATCTTCCAAATGAACCTTGTTACTTGCATTTACTATACAATATATAATTATTGTAATTAAGGTGGATAATTAGGAAGAACATGTCAAATCATGGACATAGTGTATGGCATACTAGAGATAAAGAAGCCTGATTTAGAGTAATACTTTCTAAAATGAGCTTCTTTCTAAACACTTGAACAGATTTTCCTCGGTTCGGTGTGCTTTAAAGAGGAGAGACTGTCATAAATTTTTCTGACAACCATTTATGGATAATTTTACCTTATTCTTTATAACATAATCTACTTTCTACTAATGGAGTTAAATGTAAAAGTTTTTATTTCTCTTGCACCCCATCATGTTAAATCAGACCTTGCAGATGCTGGTCAGGTTTTATGAAGCATATCTTGGTGTTGGTGACAATTAAAAAAAACTTTGATTATACTTTCATAGATTCACAATTTCCTTTTCTGTTTTCTGGTTTAAGGAGACAGTCTTCTGTAGCGAATTATATAATGTTTCATATATGCTATGACTTTTTGTAATGGATGAAGATGAGTGTTTCAGTAGCTGTGTTGTGGTTATTTTTTTAAATAGAACTGAATACTTCTTAACTTAGAAAATAATCATTCTTCAGTGAAAGCATTAATGTTGCACAGATGGTAGCAAAGTACTTTCCTTTGATTTTTAATAGGGGACTAGTTTGTCAAAGAGATTTCTCAACTTCTGTTGTGAAACCTATAATAGAGAATAATTTGAAAGACACACAGTGTGCATCATTATAATCCTTTGATGTAGATTAATGATAGCTAAATCACATTTTCTAATTGCCTCTTTTTTCTGTAGTTTATTAAATTTTAAGAGAGAACACTTGGCTACAGCAGCTCCTTAGGAACACATGCATCTCCATGCCTCGATATTTTTTGGAATACTCTGAAATATTTAAATTCAGAGAACAGAATTCTTTTAAATGTCATCATTAAGAAATTTACTATGTAGAGGAAGGACCAACATTTTTCTGCATGAAATGAATATGATAATTTATCATGCTTAGAGGCATTCACCCATAAAAACTGTTGTAGCTGTTAATAGTGTGATTTATGTTCCAGCAGTGTTGTTGTTTTTGCTTTTTACAGTCTTATCTTAGAGTACGCTGCTTAAAATCTAGAATTTACAAGCATGTTTGCTGTTGTGGTCCTTGCTTTTCATACCAAGATAACATAATTAAAATCTTCATGAGTAAAGTTATTATTACTGGATGATGAGTGAAATTATTGTGTACGTATAAATTACATGAATATGTACCCTCTTCATTTACTGTTAGGAAATATGTCCAGCTAAGTGTGAAATTTGTTGTCAGATTTCAGTTTTTTAGTAGATGGAGTATTTTGCCACCACTTATAAGCCTTAAGTTTTCTTTAAATACCTAATTCTACATTTTGTATATTATAAACATTGAGGACTTTCGGATTTTGACTTGTTTTTAATTGAAAATGTCATCACCTGTGTTTAAAATAATTTAAAAAAAAAAATGAAATACAAGTTTTTACAGACTACCAGAGGATTAACCTTTAATTCTTTGTAACCCTGAATCCTTCTTAAAAAGTAATCCTGGTAACATTTATTTATTTTTTAATGTTATTTTTATTATGTCCCAGGACTGTGTTAAGCATTCACATTGATTATTTTGATTCTTACAACAAGCCAGTACACAAGATGCTATTCTTATTTCAGGTTTGTAGGTGGAGAAACTTATTTGCCCAAGGTCACACAGAGAGTAGTTGCCAGAAACAGG